TACAGAAAATGCTGGATACCTTTTGAGTGCCTTATGTTCCAGATACTCTCTTGACTTTCTTAATGCATAGGAATAGGACTTAAAAACTTCCGTGTTTAATTGCGTTAAATGAACTTTGCAGGACATTCTCAATTTCTCATTATTTTGGTAGTAATGATTTTTGTCGAGTTTGAATCTTCTCTTCTTTATCGTGGAGACTATGGATTCTCTGTCATTCTCAGCCTCATGAGCACGTTTAGTACTCCTTGAAATATTTGCCATTTCAGAACTGGAACTCTCGCTGAAAGACGCTAGAAGTGACAGCTTCGCTTTGGCATTTTTCTCAAAAGAATCCGATTCGGTTTTCTTGTCGACGAGCTTTTCCGACTCCGATGAGAGCGATAAAAGTGTAGAATCGTTTAAATTTGATTCCAAGAGAGCTTTTTTGGCAGCCTTTTCCGCCTTGGCATCCTCATCCTCCGAAAAGTTCATTTCTTGACGAGATTTTTTATCCGGTGAATCATTTTTTTTCTCTTCAGCTTCAGTTTTGACTTCGATCGCAGTATTCTTTTCAGCGTCAGTACTCGCCTCCTTTACAAGTGTTGAAAACTTCACTGCACTAACGCTATTGACATCAGAATTGTTGTGGCCCGTTGCGTCTTTCATTTCGGTTCGATCAGCATCATTTGCAATCAAATCTTCAGTTGGCTTAGCTACGTTTTCATCAGAAATTGTATCTGAGTCAGAATCAGTTACCAACAGAGCTTTCTTTGCCAATGGTTCAGCGTCATCCAGAGATTTGCTATCATCGAGATTCGTTTTGCTAAATGGTTTCAAATCGTTATCAGCTTCCTCATTGGATGCAAATACAGATGCCACTTTCTCCTGATTATCTTGAGTCGACAAATCCTTTTCTTTTCCACTATCATCGGTTAAAAGAGATGCTCTCTCTTTTTCGCTTGAAATGATATCTTGCAAAGAACTTTTACAGGGATCTAAAGACGTATCCTTGGATGTATGCGAAAATTCGTCTTTATAACAATTTGTTTCTACATTTAGTTCGACTTGCGTTCTGCTTACTTTTGCATCTTCAGAAGATGTGTTGAACATATCCATTGACTCGTTAATTATATTCTTTTTGTTCGATTGATCTTCAATCTCGGTTTCATATTTCATATCAGTTTTTAAACTTGCCTGTTTATTGTTAGTATTTTCACCCGTCAATTGTGTCTTGTTGCTCTTATTGCATTCTGAAAATACTTGCTTTTTATTTGATCGTTTCATGTTGGCCTTCCTCTCTTTTAAATTTAATACAGGAGAAGCGGCCAAATCATCTCGCGTACCCACATTATTTTTATCGTTATTCTTTGATCCATTCACTAACATTCTGTTTTCATCGTTGGTATTAGTTTCATTGTTATTTAGATTGTTTTCCGTTCTTGCTGTATCTACTTTGCGTCCAGTCGTCTGTATCTTCCGCGGTGACCTGGTTTCATCCGCTGAAAATATTTCTTCGCTGTCACATTTGAAAACAGCTTTATTTCCGTCCTGCTCATCGCCGGAAATGTGTTTATTCATGCTCACTGTGTGTTTCTCACGTTCTTCTGAGTATTGTTCGTTATCGCTAACTATTTTGTTTGACCTTCTCCTCACAGTAGATTTTTTCTTATTCCTACACCATAATTGCCAAGTTGTTAAATTTTTTGATCTTTTCTTTAACGTCGTTATTAAATTATCAATTTTTTCTATAGACTGCAACACGAGTTGTTTTTCATTTTTTTGTTTGCCATATAACTGCTCTATACTTTTTTCGATATACATTTGAAAGTTTAAACACGTCTTCTTACACGCCGTTAAAATTTTTTTTATATAGCTAACATTCAGATTCGATTGTTCGTTGATATCTTTACCACTCTTATCATTCGTAGAATTTTTCATGGGTGACTTAGTATGATCTACGTCCAAGTCTACCAATTGTTTCCTAGAGTATTTATTGCGATTCACTTTTTGAAGTTTCTGACATTCTTTACCGAAACTAATGTCCGAATCATCTTTCTGAATGTCAGAAAGTCGTTGCTTCGATGACTCGTTACGTTTTCGTTCATCATTATTACTGTACGGTATCATCCGGGATGTTTTCGAACGTTCCCTCCTATTTCGTTTTTTATCTTCATCTTCAGATTCACTAGATAAGTCATATTTCTTTGTCCTGTCCTTCGACTTTGCATTATAAAAATTATCCATTTTGTTATTCCGTTGTCTGGTATCTTTTAAAATCCTTTTGGATACACTCGACACTCTGTTTGTATCGTTCTCATCACTTTCGCTATCAGAAGAATGTATACAATTCGTTTTACGTTTTATTTTTTCAGAACTATTACGTTTAACTGTACGTTTTCCTGTTTTATTCGATGACGTATGAGTAGAATCATCATCTGAATCACTAGATATTTTCGATTTCTTTGATGTAATTTTTTCTTTTAAAACTGATCTTGAAACTTTCTGTGTGGAATTCCGTACAGATTTCGCTTTTTGATCTCTCTCGCCTTTACTTTGTTTATTTCTTTTAGATAAAGCAGACAAATTTTTGTTTCGTGCAAGAGACAAATCTTCGCTGGATGAATATGTTAAATCTACTTTCAATATTTGTTTCTGCTGAATGGAGCTTGTATTAGGATTTGTACGATTTTTTTGCGTGATTCTTGAAGAAACGAATGACTTTTCGGAAGAATCGTCATCCTCTTTGTCACAAAACTTTTGTAAAGACCTTTGTAGTTCTCTCATTTTTTCTCGTATCTGAGATGGTAAACTACGTTTTTCAATCTTGTTGAAACTTCTCTTATTACCCTTTCTGAAACAGAAGATACATTTCATATTTGTTTATTCTCGAACTTTTAGTATCTGTCAGCCAGTCCTGTAACTAAAAACGCGATAGATTGTATTTTGCTCTTCGCTTTCGCATATCTTGCTTATGGAATTTTCTTCTAACAAATTATATTATAACAGAACGGACTAACAATATTAATAAAATATGAAATTATATATAAATTACAATTACAATTATTACAATTTAAATTACAATTACATGAAATTATATTAAATTACAAAATAATGCATGGTATACTGAACATCACTGAAACATCCCAGGAAAAAAGTTCCATATATAATTATATATAATTAAATATGTCCATACATGTTTCTTTTCTTTGGAAAATTATTCTTTAATACAAAATTGATAATAATAAGAAGGAAACATAAAAAATAATTAAAAGAATAATTTTTACATTGTTTTTTTTTTACAAAAAATTAAGTTTGATATGAGAAAAATTGTTCATATATAATTGTATATGTATATTTTTAATCACTTATATATGATAATATATATGAGCAATTTTTCTCATTTCTTCAAACTTTACTTTTTGTAAAAAAGAAATGTAAAAATTACATATTATACATTACAATACAATGTAAAAATTAATATTTTAATTATTTTTTTATGTTTCCTTCTTATTATTATCAATTTTGTATTAAAGAATAATTTTACAAAGGAAAGAACATACATAGACATATTTTGCATATAATTATATATAATTATACGTGAAACTTTTTTTCCCGGGAAATCAATAAATTTAATGTGTGAATCGAATAAAACGTTTTATTAGTAACAATTATTCGTAGGAGTGATTAAAAAACATTTTGGATGTAATTGCTTATAAATTGTCTACACATGTTTATATACGTTCCTATATCGTCTTATATTTCATTGGATCCAATCCAAAACAAAAGTTGCGATACCTGCGCGAAGACTCAGTTTTTCGCGAAGTGTACCTACTGGTTATACTGTGCTGTAATCTTTATGACGACTTCAATTCAATTCCGATTAACTCGATGATTGATTTAATCTGCAGAACAGTCGAAAACACAAAATTTTCAACTACATAAAATTTATTATCTCTTGATCCAATTTAATCTTTCATATTTCTTATGTTAAAAAATTAATAATTCTATTTATATTAGTAAAATAGTACAGATGACATTACTTGATAAATTAATTAACTACGTTAATAGGCGATTATAATTCAATTGGCAGAAATGCTAGAAAGTAATAAAGCTTTTATAACTATGTAATTTTATCTTTAATCTCTTTTTCGTATGTTAATTAATAAGAAAATATTAATAAATCAATCATTGTTAATAAAAGAATAGATATCACTTGAATTAATCAGAGTTAATTGAAATTACTTGATTAATCGGAGTTCAATCGAAGTCACTTCGATTGAATCGGCGGATTCGCTTGCGGCAAAATGTGAACTGTGTAATTCATTGTTTAAAATCTAATCTTTCTTTTAATTTGCCATACAAAAAATTGATAACTCCATCAGTGTCAACGAAATATTACTCAATAATTAAACCGCTGATTAATTCAATTGCCTATAAAACAATTTCTAACTATAATTTATCATTCCCAATTTCGGCGTGTCGAACAATGAGAAACTGCTAATTTTATCTCGGAGTTTAGTTGAGGTCACTCTTATTTAATTCGATCGATATTTATTATATATGTTTTAATATATTTACAATATAGGATATATATTAAATATATACGTGTCTCCTTTGAACACACTGAGAAAAATATTTTGATAATTATACTAACAAGACGTACATGGGAATGTATTTTAGTGCAGTCAAACAGAATTTCTAATTATCATGATAAGACTCGATATTATATAACTAGAACGTTTGATAGACTTTACCATAAGAATTTGATTAATATTTTTCAGTTGGAACTACAAAATTTTTAATTAAAAGAAACGTGCAGACTTCTGATTAACGTAACTGCATTTTAACAGTTTTATATTAATAAGAAATTCGGATATATGTTTAATAGGAAGAAATTAATCATCTGGTAAATCTTACAAAAGTTTTGATTCGTCGATTTTCCAACAAATGTACTGGTCGAAGCTACCGGATTTCCAGTCCGATTCTTTTTCCAATGCATCTTATACGTGCCTTTTCTTCACTGTCATCACTCTCCCAATCCATTTGCAATCGCACGAATACTCGCGGAAGAAGGAGGGCGCACTGACAAACTCCGGCGATTGGTGTTTAAATTTTTCTTTATTAAAATCTCAACTCTAGAAACAACGTAGAGATATGAACACTCGCGTTCGTGCCGTTCGTCGCGCCACGCGCGAGCCACGCGAGCTTCGAGGATCGAGTAAACAATCCCAAGGGTTTCAGTAATGATAGGTAGAGCCTTCGATTTTTATAACGGATGTTTATAATTCAAAAACTTAAAAATAAATATCTCCATAATCTAACGTACATATATGTGATACTTTCGTCAACAGTTCGATAAGCCTATCGTATAATGTATGTATAATGCTAGACTTATACAAGCGCCGTTTTGCGCGGCAGTTGATCAAAACGAGTTACAGTAAAAAATACTGCGTATTAGGTGAGCGCGCGTGGTAAGTACCGGTAAATGAGAAATTACATTTCGTTTTTCTTTTTGTTCTGTTTTAAATATTGCCTATACACGGGGATTTCACGACGACAGATCTCACATATCTTCAGTTTGTGTGTGCCTGAGAGAAAACACGCGATAGATACAGCCGTAATATCCGCGTAACGTATATATATATTTATATATTTATACATATATATGTCTCAATACTGTATCTCTTTTTTTTTCCTTGCTCTTTTTCCTCTTTCTAAGGCGCAGTTCGAATCGTATCGAAACATATAAAACAATTTCACACGCTATAAACTATATATATAACTTTTACGCTTTTTTTAAGTAACGCGCGAAATCATCATGTCTCACAGACACAGGCGGAGAGTCACTCTCACTTTTTTTTTTCTTTTTTCTTTTGGCGTGTGTGTTTCAAGACTCGCGTATATTATATACGATTCGCAATATTGACCGTGTGCACGTAGATTTAATAACTAGTTTTAGAAGAGAGTTTTGTCGCAAGCGTAGCGCTCGTTTGTGTGTGTATTGCTTTGGCATCATAGTCGGTGCAGTTCGTACATTTCGGCGATGTGCTGCGTGCCTAAAAAAAACAAAAGGTCAAAAAACACCATAAATCTCTCGCGAGCTCTCGCAGATGGACAATCGTTGATACCGAGTCCGTCCGTAAATGATTTGGAAGTCGGTAAATGCTCATCGCACATCCTCCTACGTTTCCCCCGTATGAGTATGCGGAGAAAGAAAAACCGATCCCGGTAGTTCTGTGTCAAAAACATTCGTCAAAAAAATTAACAATCGTGCGTCCCGGGTGCTTACATGCTAAAACACACACTGGCAAATGGTAAACAACACGTCACCTCATCAAGACTCCCAAATTATAAACGAACGGCATGGAAATTCGTATATAAGCATTTAAATCTCGTTAGCACACACTTCGCGTTTTTATACTGCGACTTGAAAAAACTGCATTAATCCGGATTGGACTCCAAAATAATCGCAATTTGGTCTCTTCTCTGGTCTCTTTGTCGAATTTGGGAGTACGCTTCATGAGGTTTACAACAACGTTTGATGCTGGACACAATTAACACGACACTTTTTTTTTCTAACGAGATTTAACTGCAACAACTGAGCCATGTATGACCGTAAAGATTATTCTTTTTAGGCCTAACGTAAAACATTGTAAATTTGCTTCGTGTTTAATAAGTAACGTGCTCTGTGACAAACGACACAAGCATGTTATAAACATCATCCTGAGCCAGTCAAATCCAATTTGCAATTTATAGCCGCGGTATTCTATACCGGTTGAGTAATCAATTTAAGGTACAACATGTCTATTTATATTTATATATGTATATTGTGCGTTTCAAAATATATATTCTTTCTTTATTATCTTGTTTGGAAAGATAAAAATATTTTCACGAGATAAATAGTAGCCGCGAGAAGATTTACGTACCCCGGTATAAGAATGTAACTTCAGTTCCCTCCGTTTCTTATCAGAAACAATGGGGGAATAATAATATATTTTAGCTGTTTAGATTTACCGTTCAGCGAACATATGTGTTTCATTCGTTTTCATTCGTTATAACTCTTTACATTTTTCTCCTTCAAATTCGTTATATTTTTTTTATGAAAAATATCAAGTATATCTGACTGAAAGCGACGATAACGGCTTAAAAGACTTCGTTATATTTTCCTTCGAGTATATAGTTCCCTCTCTCGATAAACGAGTTAAAAGTCAAGATATAAAACACTCAAAAGCTCCGTCCCTGAAAACGTTATTCCACGGGGGGGTAACTTGGTCCATAGGATAAGATTGTATTACGCTAAGGAGATCCGGTTGAGTATACTTTCTCACAGGTGCTGAAAAATACACCCGATAAAATTTCACAAACATCCAATCTCGGGGCGTCTATGATAACAGCTAAATGGGAATCGGGCGACATATAAAAATACACATGTCGTTCTACCAATAAATAATTAATCGATAATAGTAGATAATTATAGAAAGAAGAACACACTGTCGTTAGAAAGATATAGGGCCAACTTTCACATAACTTTCACGAAACGTAGGCCAAATTCCATTAGATCGTGTATTTCCCGTTCTATCTGAATTCGCAGCGAGAGACTCTCACTAGCTTGCTAAGATAAAAATTACTACTTCATACGTATACGTTATTAATCGATATCATTTGCATATTTAAATATTTAACGACGTTACACTAAAGCTATGAAATTGTTTTCTTTTTTTTTTACTAAAGCAACAAACTATGTAAATTAAATCGACAGTTAAAAAAAAAATTCTCTAAACAATTTGATGAAGAGCTAACATTCATAATAACACGACATTAACATTTTACTTTGTTAATTTTATCATCATTGTATTAATAATAGATTACTTTTTATATTCACCGAGTCGGCAATCAATGAGGATAAAAACAACATAATTTATCGTGCGCAAGTTGCGTGAGAAAAATGCATTGTGCCATCGTTTTTTTTTCTGATAACTTAAAATCGCGATCCAGTTTCTGGTTGTTCCTTTGAATTGTGCAGACAGATACAGTCACTCAATACTTCATCGCCGCGTTGCGGTGTAAAGCTAATCGTGGATAATCGTGTACTCCGGTCACTTCAACGAGACATTCTCCGATGGGTGCATCATGAAGAAACACGCAAGTACATACGTACCCACATCGATACTTACGACAAATAATACCGGAAATACGGATTCGATTTAAAAGCGAAGCGTAACGATAATCACCGAGATCGATTGAAAAGAACTTTTAGGTCCCAAATGTATCGCGCGTATGCATGAGAAGACGTCCGTGTAGCGGCATCCCGACTTTTACTCGTGTGTGGAGAGATTATAAGTACGTCTCTGAAAACTCAACATCAGAAGCGGAAGCGCGGGAGGATTTTGTACATATGGAAATACCCCCACCGATAGCACTGTCCGATGTCCCCTCGCCGGTCGGATAGTCAGCCACGATGAAGGACTGCTTGGGCTGACCCTGCCTGCAACGACTTGTGCCGGTCCCTTTCAGGGCGTCGCGTTCAGCCAGCTTCTGCTTGATGGCTTGAATCTTTTCCTCTTTCTGAAATAGAATAAAGTGAGAGAATAATGAAAAGAATACATAATGACAGCAGATATTAATTGATAAAACATCTATTTTAGAATGAATTTAGTATAACGAAATATTTTTACAGAAGAAATAATTCTGATTACAAAAAAAGTTTCAGAACGTAAGATGTCGTTATATCGAAAAAAAAACTTTGTACAAACAAAAGAGTACAATGAAAAAGAATGGTAAATGCATAGAATGATGGTCTCGCTAACGCATTCTAATAGAAAATTAAACGTAACTCTTTTAATGTATTTATTTATTCATATTTCTGTATAGTGCTGTTTCTACTTTGCTATAAATAAGTTTTACTTTTATATCGGCATTGAATTCTTACCATAGCAATGAGTTTCTGGAGCTCGTCGTTTTCGTTGAGCAGTTTCTGATACTTCTCTTCCTCCTCCTTGGACACCGCGCCGTCCGGATTGTATCTCGACTCGGACTTGTCTCTGGGATGCCTGATCACTTCGATGACCTTCGGCACGAAGATGAGCGCCATGCTGAGGAAGCAACAAAAGATCGTGGCCAGCGCCGAGAAGGCGTAGCTCGCGTCCTGCTGGCTAGAGATGACCATTACCACAGGTACCGTAATGAGACATAGAACTACAATGTTATATATCGACATTCCCACGTATCTGGAATCATTGATCAGTTTGATTTTGATGCTTCTCGTCTCGTAAGATAGGAAGAGCCCGAAAGCAAGAACGATGCCTTTATAGCCGTAGATCAAGCCTGTAAAAAAGAAAAATATTCACAATTTCTGTACGCCGTTTTACATAATAAAAAAATAATATATCAGAATAATATATCGATCGATTCGCGGGCATTCATTTCCTGACGTGCGTGCGCATCCTTTTGAGTCAAGAGTCGCACTCACCGAGCCACAAGCTATTGTGTTCGCTCTCGCAATGCTCCAATTCGGGTTTGATCATTGCGTCCTCGTCTCCGTAAGGAGGCAGTTCCAGGGCGAAGGTCTCGATCCTCCGGCGCAACGGATCGACCACCTGCCAAGTGACGAGAAGGATGATATCGACCGACAGCAGTCCGCCCAGCATAATGTACAGCTTCCACGGCTCAATCTTCTTCTGTATAGACGAAACTTTTTGTTTAGCCGTCAATGACTAAAAGGAATCGAGAATAGGTTAAAGATGCGGGACATACGAGCGGGAACAGCAAACCATGCAGGATGGTTCCATCTTGATGAAAAACTAAAAATCAGTCTCGTTACTAATGAGGAACTCAGGGGGAAAAGCGGTACGATTGTCTTCGCAGCGAAGAGTCGTCTCAGGCGGAAGAGGCATGGTAAAAAGTAAGCAGAAAATGGTTTCATACATCTCGCTACACAGCTAGCGAAGTGAAGATCATTTGAATTATTAAAGATCATTCGTACCGCTTTACCAGCGGAGACTCGACTTGCCCTGAATCCAAGCTTACGACTTACTTTTCCTTGATCGGCTTTCGCCTTCGTAGAGAGTCGATGGACCCTCCACACTTTACTGAACATGGCACCGAACGCCAGGGTGAAGCCGACCGACATCGTCCACGCTCTTGCCTGGCAGACTATCAAAAACTGCCACGGCGTGACGAACCTACCGTCAAACCCTATGCACAACACGGCCAAGAAGCAGCCTATTATTCCTATCAGCATTATCGTGTTGGCGGTGGGATGAGACGAATATATAACTCTGAAAGGTAGACATCGGTTGTAGCCTATCGATTGTAGATTGCGGCCCGGCCGCCCGGCCCGGGTGGTGGTATATGTTAGATAACGTATTAACGAATTCAGCACAATGTAGTGTACGTATATAGCGCAACATTATAGTATACCTTCGGTGCCTATTATAGACGTTAAATACGATCAATCCAATGGCTATCACGATACCGAGCGCCGACAAGGTCGCCATACTTATGAATAAGGGCAGTGACACTGTTCTCAAAACGTTCCTTATTATCGTTCTGTCCTGCGGCACCTTGCCGCCGATCCACCGCTCCACGTTTCGCCACGTCAGATTGTCACTCTGCGTATCGTAGTACCCCAATTTAACGTACTTCCCGTCGATCACCTGCTCGATCTGCGTCAGAGCGATCCTGTCGCCCTGCGAGCTGAACGCGACGTAACCCTACGGGGGATTAAAGGAAGGATTTTAGCGTCTAGAATTTGGAGCGAACGAACGAGAGAGCGATTTTCCGCAGCCTACGGCTCTACGTACGGAAACTCCGAGGAACTGGGTCGAGTTTACTGCCGCGTATATCTCGTCGGCGATCTCTTTGTTTTCGTAAGTGAAGTTCTTCAAACTGTTCCCCAACTTGCTTAGCCTTTCCATGGTTCTGTTGAACGCTGATGGTAGAGACAAAGGAGGAAGGAATCGATAAAACGATTATTGGTCGCCAACTTGCCAAGACATCGCGCGCGCGTGTGCTGCCGAGAAACTCACCAAGAGCGACGGACCAGACGGCGTCGTAGGCGAGGGGCGCCTCCTGGTACCCTTCCGGATATCGATCGTTATCTATGTCGTAGCCGTCATCCTTCAGCAGCTTGTTCAATCTCTTTCGGAAGTCCTCGGCGGTCATGCCGCTGATTGTCGTGTCGTTATTCTGATTCCACATGAGCGCCTCGGTGGTGAGATGCCCCTCCGCCGCCATCCGCATCTGCTCCTTCGTGCAGGTGATGCCCTCCTTCTCCAGGTTGATCTCGAACCAATCGTCCTCGTACCAGCCTATGAAGAACCACACGTACGACTGGCCGTACAGCTTCTGGTGATAGAGCTCGCAGAGCACCCGTCTCGCGGCCACGACGTAGAACAGCCCGACGATTATCCGCGCGTCCTGACGGCGTAGATTCTTCACCGCATCCGTGGGATCCGATAGGAAGCTCTGACGGGTGACTATCTCTATCCCAGCTTCCTTACACCGCGATTCTAGATCTTCAACGGTCTGTGACAATTTGACAGGTCAGACGTATATTCGTACTGACGTACGGACGGCGATTCAACACACAAGAGACGGAATATTAATCTTTAATCCGACCAGCTTGATTTCGAAGGCAGGTGATATGGCAGAGTAACAGATGATAACGTTAAAATAAATCGTGACTTTTAATAATCATTTTGGAGCTATTTTTTTACGCTATTTTGAAGTCATGCGATTACTTCTTGTTGGAGTATACTTTTTTAAACTTGTTCATCACACAAAAATCGAATTACTTTGGTTTTCATTGAATGTATAAGGAAGCGAAGTACGTTTTTGACATTCTTACCGATATAAACACTTCTTCGGCTTGCTGCAGTATCGCTACCCGAGACCAGCCGAACTTTTGCAACAATTTGATTCTCGTGGGGTTGTGCACGGTGGCGGAGGGATGCGTCCTGAACAGGGTCGGGAATCGATTTCGGTCGGACAAGGCCGGCGACGAGGCACCGTAGCAGAGCTAAAGGATATCGCAGATGTACTTTCATATTTCTGTTTTATATTCGCGAAACACATCGGTCGCGATGAAATATGAGGTTCGCGTTAACGCAATCTCCGTATAGGAGGAGGGCGGGAGGGGAGGAAAAAAAAGAACGCGGGTGGGTACTCACCACCACCAGGTTCCACATCTTCGCCGCCTCGGCGACCGTGGTGCATACCGTGCTGCACCCGGCCAACAGCATTAATTTATAGGGTGGAAAGTATAGTAAGTTGTACATCACGGATGCGCCGAGGCCGGGCTCGCACTGAAATGGTAATAAATTACAGAGGTAATTTTATCGCGCGCGCGAGACAGGCGGTGGCGGCGGCCGCGACCGTCGTCCGCCATTATAATGCCATTAAAAGCATCTTCGTGAGTTTACCTCGCTATCGTTGGAATGGAGGTGCAGTCTATATCCGCGTAACAAGTTCTTTTCGCGATTAACGTCCTCTAAGGCCAAGCGCGCAGCTGGCATGCAAGCCTGTTGAATAAATGATAATGCAATTCAGCTTGATTAATCCCCTAATTTGATGAGTCGCGCGGCTTTGCATGCGGGGTCAAAAGTGGTGGCCGTTCGTGCCAACTGCCACGTACGTCGTTCGCGGCAAAACATTCCAAGGTGCTTTCCTCGTACATGAGGATACGCGATCGCGACGCGAATATTTGTGAAAATATAAAGATTGGAGCGTATAAATCGAATGTAAAAGCAACGCGATAGCAAACGTAAACGAATATTTGAAGAAGCGTAAATTGGAACAGCGAAACGTAAAAGAGGCGTTTTAACAGGTAAACCCCTCTTTTATATATTTCGCTGTTTCAATTTATGTTTCCTCAGAGAGAGAATTGATTCTGTCACTCTCCCTTTACGACTCGCGCTCCGATTTTTATTTTTGCCAGGGGAATTTCGGACTCAAACAACATCAAAATTCGAAAACTCAGAGAATGTTATGTCTAAAACGTAAGAACGTCTTTAAGATGTCTTTTGATACCTAAAAGACATCCTAATGATGTCATTAGGACGTCTTATATCCCGATTTTAGACATAGTATTCTTTGGAGAATATCTGTAAAAAATTGGAAATACATCTTTCAGATCGCGTCGTGTTTTATCCGAATAAACGATTTCATTTACGCGGAGTTTATTAAGTTTCCTCGTGCTAGGAAAGTATACCATAAAAATTACAAAATGTTTGTCAGAAATTGAATAACTTGCCGATGAAGTTGTGGAAGAACTTTTCGAAACAGTTCATTGTGTATGCAGATTACTTTACGTGGTTGTGTCAACTTTACGCCGCGTAAAAAGAATAGATTACCATCGCGTTTAATCGTGAAGCGAGAACTAAATACTATGTCGTTTATTTAAAAAGAAAAATTTTATACCAAAATATAAATAATATCGCGTTTAGTTTTCCCGAGTGAGGCACGAGTTGAATGTATTACACGTCGTACGGAGTAACGCAATACTGTAAAGTGGGCTATTTGCAATTTAAACGCGAATCTTTGCTAACAAAAGGTAGCAAAAGCCTCGTGGAATTTTCTCGGTAAATTACCGCTGGATCAGATAGCAACGATCTGGAAGAAAATATGCCCCGACAAGAGAAAATTACGACAAGAGATAATTATGAACGCGAAAATAGAGAGGCGAGTTATTGAACCGCGATTTCCCGACTTTTATTATTATCGTTGCCGTTCTTTCCGTTGTTAAATCCGAGCGTTCGTGAAAAATGCGTGCTTTACTAAATTTGTGCTAAGGATTTCCACTTGATCCTCGGTGATTTCCGTGGCTTTAAGAACGCTTCGACGCGCATGGGCTTCGAGAACGCAAAGAAAATCCTTCCAGTGGAAACTTGCTCGGCGCCGTTATGAGGGTGAACTTTTGGAATTCGATCTCCAAAGTTTTGGAACGGTTTCGTGAAGTTTGTCGGAAATTTTACTCGCGCGCTATCGATGCCACAAAGTTGTTTATCGAGCAATTCGTGGGGAGCGAGGAGAGATGTAAGACGTACGGGAGGAAATGAGAGAGGTTGCAAGCAATCGCGATCGCGTAATAGTTCGTCATCCTCCGTAAGCACGTATAAAAATGAGTAGGGAGATACCTCGTAATCTCTCACCGGATTTATAAGGCTATTACTGCGAGATTAAATGTAAAAAAAGGGGACAATGACAAAAAGTATTTGATCTACTCAGAAGCCAATTTGATTGACTTCTCATGAGTTTTTTTAACGTTAATATCAAAGAATACGATTAGCTTTCAACTTTTTTAAATTTTCTATGCTTTTTTTCTCGCACGCGAAGTGATCAGTTTGGCTTCTGATAGAATTAATTAAAGTTCCCGCAAATATGAAATTTTCGGGCGAGGAAAATAGCAGATTGTTAATCAATTCTTATCAATGTCGACGTTGAGTACATTATAATTGATAATCCAAAAATAATTATGACACAATCATTGCAAACGGAGCGTTGGGTATTTCGTTTTTGTTATCAGCGTTACTCAATATTTTATCTCACCAAAAAAAAGAGCTTGTTATACGTTTTAATCTTCTCGGTCTGTGTTTGTTAAATATCTCATGATGTCGAACATGTAGCTTGTTACGTTTCTCTTCTCGGTTTATGTGCGTTAAATATCTCATGACGTCACTATCATACATAAATAAATGTTCGCGCCCCTTCTCGACGTGACGTTTGCGTCTCTCTGATTTTCGCGGCTCGCGTTTTTTTTTTTTCGAGACGAAGGGAAAATTACGGTCATTTCTCTTACCTGGCCACCTTGCCAGCCGCCCTCTCCGCCGACGGGGAAGATACCGCCGATGTGCAGGACGTTCTCCTCCTCGTCTTCGGGTGGTAGCGACGCCTCGGTCCAGAGCGCTGCCATTAAAAGCACAATTAAGCCCAGCAACATCGCGCATTGCCGACGAGGAAGGCCGCTCGCCATTCCGCCAGCAGTGTCTTGCTTTCTCGCTAAAATCGTACGTTCTCTCCCTCTCCCTCTCTCGCGCTCGCTCGCTCTCTCTCTCTCTCTTTCTCTCTTTAGCTCTCTTCTACGACATACCGGGTGTAGTGGGACACGTAGTGGCAAAATCGGTGGTGTGCAATGTCGTCGAGAAAGCGCTCACTGCCATCGTCCTCGCCCGATCGACCTCGTCGCCTGACTAATCAAATCTCTCAAACACCCCCTCTCTCTCTCTCTCTCTTTCTCTTTAATCCTCTCCTTCTCTTCACGACGCTGCTGCGTTCGATCGCCTGCGAATCTCCTCGCGCGAACGTCACTCTCCTCTTCGTCCTTCGTCCACCCCGACGTCTCTCTCGCCACCTCTCTCTACGATCGACCAAAATCAATTTCGCGACGATTCCCTTCGCTCCGACTCGAGAAGCTTCCGTTTCCTCGTTCCTGATTCAATTCCTCACGGACGTTTGTTTCCGCGCAAAATATCTCCCTTCCGCGAACTCTTCACACTTCTGGAATTGGGAACCGACCGAGTTCTCGATAGTTGGAATACCCGTCGACACTCCGCTTCGCTCGGGATACTCGTCGCGCGCGAGTTTCGCGTGCGAATGGCAAGCGAGGGTGGCCACCCCCCGGAGATATATCGGGGACCGAGCCCGATTCGATCCCCGTCCGCCCGTCGGACAGGCGCGTGAGGGATGACGATTCGCGGTCACCCTGCGGCTGGAGAAACGGAGGGGACGGCCGCGGCGCTCGTACTTCCGGTCTAGCGCAAGGGCACGTTCTGCCTTCGCGTGGCCGGGAATTTCGCGTGGTAGACTGGTAGCGAAGAGATTCAGCGGTGAGCGCGCTTCGCGGGCGTATTCATATCGATTCTCTACCCCTTAGAGGGTCAACGGGGTGGGGTGGGATGGGGTAGAACAGGCAGACAGGGAGGGTGAGAGGGCTCGAGAGAGTGAGGGAGGACAGCTCGTGCGAAAATCAATATGGCGCGGGCGATTCGAGTGACCGTTGTGCTGATGATTGAGATTCTTTTCTTCGTTAATCTTCTTAGAGGACCGTTTCGATAAATAAAAAGAGATATTTAATAATATAATAATATTCAGTAATGCTCAAGATGTTGTTTTTAGTGAAACGCAGTTGAATGATAATAATGATAAAGATAAGAAATATCGGAGAGAATCGAGTATTGAATCCATTCAGTTTACGTGATTTATAAAATTAGCGCACCAACTGATTTTTTTCAAAATGAAATAATCTATCTATATTTATAATATAGCGGAAGAGTAACTTTGATCAAATTTCGATTAATTTAATTGGCGATTATTTCAACCAGGGACTTACAAACCTAATTATAGAATTTCTTTTCTTAATCTTTTCCATTTTTTCTTTTTTCCATTTTTTGAACAAATTATCATCATAAAATTATCTCATAAAATTATCTCATTTATGTTAACATCACAGATATTATTTAATGAATTAATTACTGACTAAGTTAATAGGAGTTTAGTTGAAATTGCCCTTAATGAACCTCGGGTAAATTTCATGCCAACAATTGTAAGGGAAAAAGCAAGGTAAATAGAGAGAAAATCTTGGCGGCTCTTTTGCTCGGTTTCTACAGTAAATCTGTCGTCATATTTTAGCGGATTCTTTTATAATTTCATCTGGTATTCAGCGACGCAAAATTTATAGCAGACATTTTGTAAAATTTCTTTTCAACAAATTTGACTATCAGACGAAATCTTGGCTATCTTTCTACTTAGATTTCCCCGGCTAGCTTTTGAAGGATGGTATATGATTCCTAATATTTTCTTCCCTTTTTACATATCGTTCAACCTTCGTGCTTCACGCTCGGTCAATTTATCTTACGCCTGCGGTTTGCGTCCCGGCATTGCAAATTTACGGAATAAAGTGGAAGGACGAATCTCTTCGGGTCGGGCGGGATTTTCATGCGCGTACGTGATGAGTTACGTCATAATCACATGATCAACTTCAACATACTCGTGCTAACAATAAGATGCCTATATAGATCGATGTTTCTCGGGGCTTCTCTGAAAATAATTCAAAGCGGCCCCAGAAAATATTAAAAAATGTTTAATTATAATAATGTTTTATTAATATATTTAGATTGATGATATGTTATCATCTCTCTAAGGAATGTAAACTATCACAATAAATTTTGTTGAAATAATAGTAATTAATTATACATAGAAAGAAACATATCAAAATTTGTATCGCTATAATAGTAATAAATAAATTTTTACTGCAGGAAACTATTCAAGAATCTTTTAATTAATTATATTGTTGATATAATTTATATTGTTTATTATGTTGACGTAATGTTGACTATTATCTCTCTAAGTCATATATTTTCCAATCGTTACACTTAACATTTTCTATGATCCCTCCCCACGAGGGGCTCCATGATAATATAATGTTTATTGCAACAAACTTGAAACTGTACGTGCCTGACAGCATTGTTGCGCTACTACGCATGTGAGCAAAATTCCCCTCTTCTCTACTCGCAATACCGGCGGCAACCGGCGGCGCTGTCCCGCCGCTGTCAGCGTTGTATCGTTGTGTTTTGTCGTTCTGAACGGAGTTGCGAAGGTACCGTCAACATCATTGATTTGCACGTGTTGTTCCATTTCGGTGCGACACGATGGCCAGCCAACGTGCGCTTCCTCAGAGTAAGGAGGCGTTACTGAAATCGTATACGACGAGGTTAAAGGACGACGTGAAATCCATGCTGGAAAATTTCGAAGGTATCTCTAACCTCTAAATATTCCTCAACCCATTGCTTATAGGCGTTTTTTGCCTCCAATAATGAAATTTATGACTAAACTCTCTAGGCTTTTTACCTTTCCTACCTTTCCCTTTGTCTAATTGTATATCTAACTGTATTTTAAGTGCAGTATAATATAGTACAATTGCAAAGAATGTACTGATAATTTTGGTCCTTTTCTAATCATTTGAATTTTCATCCTCCAAGAGATGCAGTGCCACAATTTATTCGATTTATTCTTATCTTGGATTTTGCTTTTGTTTTTTTTTTAAGTAGAGTATTTCCCTAGAATGTACATTCTCTCAAAATTCCTTATTTTATGTGGAATGGGCGAGACCAAGAATATATTGAGATAAAATTCTTTTGCTCGACAAACAACTGCTGAAGCTCCACAAATTGTAGTTATAATTTTTTTGAAACATGTTTACAAGTTTATATATGAATTTCATTTTTGGGTCATTCACGATATAGCATATTAGATATAGCATAGTAGAATAGAAATATTGAAATACTAAAAGATATAAAACAAAAATTAAAGATTAATTATTAAAGATATTATGTAGAGAAATAAATGTAAAACGAATTATGTGCGGAAATTATTCTTAACACTGTAAATTATATTGTTAAGTTAAAACAGTAAAGTTAAAAGAAATAAAAGTTACAGTAAAGTTAAAAGAAATAAAAATTCATACACACAGTGTACGTAATATCTAATAGAGTATTAGCATAGTAGCATTTAATATAATTGAACAATTGTATAATTATAATAAATATAATTTTTATCTCTCTATTAAATTAATTATTAATTATATATATATGTATAAAATTTGGAAAAAGAAAGATTTTTACTAGATAATATAGAACCTAACGGTTTACTTTTATCTTTATTATTTTTAATATCTATCTTAATTCTGGTTTATTTCTACTTTTCCAGAAATAATTAAACTTGCAAAAGGAGAAAATGACTCTCAGTTGTCTCGGATGACGCAATGTGAGCAAGATACATATGAAATGCATGTCAGAGCAGCTAATATCGTGCGTGCCGGCGAATCATTAATGAAACTAGTCTCTGACATAAAGCAGTATTTAATCCTGAATGATTTTCCTTCTGTAAACGACGCCATAATACAAAACGGCAAATTATTTAGAACTAAGCAAGTAGAATGTGACCAAAAGCTGGCTTCCCTGAGGGACGACATGGCTGCGGACTTATACGATCTGGAAGAGGAATATTACACTTCGATATACAAATAACACTAGTTTAAGTTTAGCGCTAGTTTAACATTAGTCTATAAGTTAGTTTATAAGTTTAAGCTTAATTTAACCCTAGTCCTGTAATATATGTGAGACTTGTTTTCTAATGCGTATCACAAAGTATCATTCATTCAAGTTGTACATTATCCATTTATTTTAATAAATAGGATTAATTTAACGTTCGATTTATCGCGATTTTTCAATCTTATATATTACATAGGCTATTTTATTTATTTTTAGCGTTATAAAGTTTTTTACTTCTAAACATTCCTATTACAGCTTCTGTTCCATCGATTCTTATATACCAACTCCTTTACCTTATTGCCATCCCTTCAATTATCGCTTCATAAACAATTTCTTTTTCTTCTCTCTGTTCTCCGTTGCTTTCTTACATTTATATTGTATCTTTATCTAATCTACATGATAACTAGAGTCTCCATCCTTGTTTTCTCCTCCTCGTCCGCTTCTTATCCTCTTCTTCCCTTTCTTTTTCCATAATTAACAGCAGATGATCTGCATTTGTTTATCTATCCTAAGTTCTTCTACTTTATCGTGAACTCTCACTTACTGCTCAATAGTCTGTATACAACAATACTATCTCTAGCTTGTATCTCCGTAAATTCTTTTCATTCCCTTTCTATCGCAACAATGTTTAAAATATACCTTCAAATATTTTTTCCTTTATAATCTGTAACTATCTTTTTACCTCTTATTTTTACTCTCTTTACTTTCCTCTATTTTAAACATTATTTTCTTACATTTATTCCCTTCCTCTGAAATTAATTACCTCTAAATACTGTATAATATAACTCTAATACCTATCTCAACCACCTATCTTACACACAACTTATGCTTTCTACCTTTTTCACTGCTCTAATTACTATCGCTCGCATCAAAATCGTACCTTTCTACTTTACCCATATCCTCTTTCCCATTTTCCTTCTATATCCTTCAACTAGTTTGATTTACCTTTAACTATCCTACGTACTGAATTTATTTTCCTATTTAACCGCAAGAAACGCACACGTTCTCTCCACATGTATATCCATACGCATACGCATCACAAAGTTCCTCCCTTAATTTTATGGAGATTTATAGACAAGAGTCCTGAATAAGAAATAAGGAGTAATTGTCTCTTTTATTATTTCAATATTTTGTAACACATAGACAGTACATCACACAATACTTTTACATATTTAAGAAGGTAGTAATATAGATCCAAGCTTTTCAGTTATTAATAGTCATCTCAATCGTTTCCACTTATTATTGTTTACTCGAAACGTGTTTTTTTTTTGTGATTCTGTACAATAGTAATTTACAAAACTGTTACACAGCTCTCCTGTATTGGAGCAAGAGGAGTTTACAATTGATTAATTGACAAAATTAAAAAAGACGCGCTCTATGTAACGTATATAATTTCAATTTGGAATGTTGCACATACGTAATCTGACTTGCTTCCTGTAATGTTCGTGTATTGTAGCAACGAGACACAAGGAGCATCGACGACTTGCTGGGTCTGACAAATAATTGGAAATTATGTTTTACGCTAGAAAAAGATTAACAAAAATATCACAGTGTAAGACACAACGCTGTGACACAAGAACAAGTCTTTTAAACAATGCGGTACATCACAAACTCTATTCGGTGAACCGATACAGCATCTAAATAAAGTAAATACATTTGAAATTCTAACAAAATACGCGGCAGCAGTTTACTTTTGATGCACCTCCGTAAATAAATTATCTTTTAATCGCGTTCTTCTCGCTTGAATTAGTCCACTGTCCAAGTGATAAAATCATATTAACTACATATCGTTACAATCATACATTATTAAATACCTACACCTACACGATTCAAAACAATATTTCCGAATTATCCGTGGTAACGCATCCGTGGAGATGCTACATAAATGTTACAAGAAATTAACACAAAAAGAATAACGTAAAAGTAATACAAGAAAGCTGATCTTAATTGTAATTTCTTTTTCTCGAACTTTCGTGACTCGATTAACTTATCTCTTGGATGGCTCTTCAAGACCCACAATAATTTAGTATATACAAAATTCAATTCCCTTAAAATTAATTAATTAACATTAAATCGCCGTTTTCATCTATGCAACTCCTATAAGCTGGAAAGCTATTAGTTTTATGTATTATATGATCCTTGAAAAATAAATGCAAACTCAACATGAAAAAGGACACATACGCTGTAATGGCTTATCTTCGCATTTGCAAGGCATACACTCGGTACAAATGTGACGATGTGCTTTGAAATTTACAATTCTTACAGTTTTGTCGAACTTGGAACACTTATTGTACATATACATTATTAAATATACTAAGTAGACTTACGTTCTACTTTGGCAAAAAACGTTTACAAATCTAAATTCGAGCTCTTTTTTTTTTCTTTCCTGAATCTTTTTCCCCTCCAATTGAATCTCAAAGACATTGTGAATCGTATGCCTTTTCCTTTCTACAAAAAACTCACATAAAACTCTGGCCTTTTACTGGCAGCTTGAACACTCGCAGCTTAGCATTAAAGTAATCTCAAAAAGGTTACAAAACTCTCGATTCTCTCGTCGATTAATCCTCTATCTTATAAAATATGCCAGAAAGATGATATGCTCTTTTAATCTTTTTTTTTCCTCTAAGCAATGGAGTATCAGTCGCTCTTCCTTTCGAGTGCCGTTATGAAAAAAAAAAGCAGCACTATATAGCGTAACCTGGCAGTTTCGATGATTCATTGTGGAAAAGTCCGTCGATTTGACGTAGCATAACGATACAAAGTAAATGCATACACTTGGAATGATACTGTTAGTTCTTTTTTTTTTTTTACTTAATCATCTAAACAAACTTCGCTTTCAGTGTTCGACGCGTTCGTGAGCGGAGATCGCGCTTTTGATTCCTTTTTATAATTAAAAAAAAGTTCGCTTAATTTAATGTGCATATTTGACAATAACTTATCTGTGGTCCATACATATATCGTCCGCTCACGAACGCGAACGTCTTAAATCTGCTTTCTATGAAAAATTCGCTTTATACGGTTATGTGAGCATTTGTCGTAAATAATTTTTTTATTATTATTATTATTATTATTATTAAAGTTCACTATATAATATATTGATTCTTTTGCATTTGCGTAGTCTCTCGCGATTATTCTCGCCGCTAGGAAAAAAAAAACAAGGAATACTTTATGTTAGCCTTATAAGTTTCATTCTCGTTTTCGTTCGTTTCGTTCTATTGCCGCGCGGAGGGACGTGGTTGAGCTGGTGAATATGATAAAGCGTCATTCAGCATTTCTTTTTCAATAAAGAAGATCGCCGGTCGTCTCCGAGCCCCAAGCGCCCGCGTCCTGAGCCGGTCTCAAGTATTCCACTTCGCTCGCGTTCTCGGTTTGCCCGGTCGTTGCTGTCGTTGCTGCCGCCGCTGAGGTCGGTACCATCAGTATAGCCCTGGTGATGCCCAGCTCGAAGCCCTCCGACGTCAGATCGACTTTGCTGGGCGTGTAACTGGCTAGTCCACCTCCACCTGCAGACAACCGGTATTGAGTGGCTGCACGCGGATATATTAATTTTCCTTCCATCTTTTTTTTTCTGTTTATTTAATTTAGCTTTCCATTCGATTAAATAACGAGATTATTAAATCCTCCCTGAGATCAATTTTCTGTAATTGCGATACATCTCTTGGAATATTTTATGATAATTCCAGTTTATTTTAATTACTTAATTGTAATATCGTGTTACATCGAAATAATTGCAAAAAAAAATGTCTTAGCCGAGCTGCGAACGGGAGTGCAACTCAACAGAAATCGAGTTTGATTTTTCTTACCGAGAAGGGACGGCATGCTGCTCGTCGGGGAGATTTTGTTGTTGCTCGGCGCGGACTGCTGTTGCTCGACCGCGGAACTGGAGGTCTCGCCGTCCACGCTGCTGGTCTCACCTTCCAGGATCGACGCTTCGCTGGGATACTCGAAGGTACGCGTGGCGGTGTCGTCGAACTGTATTCGATGCTGTAAATCGCATAAGGTTTAATTAAAAATCCGAGCTGCCTGTAAACGAGCGTAATACGAAGCGATTTGCATGGGAAATATCGTGCGTTCGCGGCGATAAATTAATTTACGTGCACCGCGCGCGCGGGGCATGAAGAATCGCTGCCGGGTGTGTGTATGTGCGCGCGCCGAGGGTATTCGCATATGTAAACACGTGTTACGCGGCAAGCGCGGCGATTTATGTCCGCCTTTTGCGCCTTCAGCGGAACAGTTATACGCGGAAAAATTTTGCGAGGCGCGCGCGCGCTTCGTGTAATAAGCGTTGCCGCGCGCGCGGTACAAATGAGATACGGGGAGAACAAACAACGGCAACCGCATGTAATGTAGCCTCGAATAACAGTAACCGGTCACACTCAATGCTTTTTCGACCTGCGAGCGATGAGTGGGGACGATCGCCCGTCCGTCCGTTCGTCATCGTCGTCGTCGTCGTCGTCGCCGTCTTTGTACGTCGCATGTGCGAATCGTCAAGGAAGAAAGCATTGTTATCTCCTTTGCAGAGGATTAAACGTCCGTCATATTAATATGCGACAAGAATTTGCGAGGATGAGAGAAAAGAATGTGAGAAGATGATACTTGTTTTTAGTTTGGCTAAATAAATCTTATTCTCATTCAAAAATTTCTCACTTCTTTTACGATAAATCGTTTAATTCATGTAAAGTTTGGACTCGGATTTTATGCAGAAATATATCATATATAAAAATTGAATGCATCTTCGTCGAAAATAAATTTTATTTATTCTACGATAAAGTAATAAAATAGTTTTTTGTTATTTTTTAAATAACAAATTGTGGATTATAACATTCAGAAAGTTAAACATTCTAAAGACATTTTGAGAAATCATCTTTTAACTTCTTAAATATTTAGATATAAAAATATACATTTGTTTTTATATGCGACATAAATATTCTGCGAATGTACTTCAGGCGCGGTTTTTTGATGCAAAACGTAGATTTGCATCAATTCGCTGCGTCAGTCTGGCGATAACAGTACCGGCGATTATTTCAACTAGGGGGGTTGACTGCTCGCTTCGCTATAATTATATATATGCACCGTTCTTTCTTTTCCCGAGGCGTCGTGAGACATAAGACAAAAAATCAAATCGAACTGACAGACACTCGGACAGATCGAACGACGTTTCTTCCGCGGGGTACGCGAGCCTGAAAGGCGCACGCTCGTGACCCGATTAAAATAATCATTCACGCACCGTCCTCTCTCCTCTTTTTTTGTTTTTGCGTCGCCGACCAGAGTCGCCAAAATAAACGACCGCCCAAGAGCCGCGAAAAGTCGCTTTAAAGCCGCGCGTTAAATCGCGCTTTCTAAAACGACGCTCCACTTTTCCGGGATAACTCCTCGTCGGCCGTCGCGAATTGCAATTAGCATTTTCTCACCGAGCGAGTGAATGCGACAATCATGGACCGTTCCGGCTAGCTGGCTAAGTGGCATTAACAGCAAAACTTGAGGAACGAACGCGGTTACTTTCCACAGTCATCTTCAAGAGATCCCTCCCCATCTCCGCGACGAGCGAGTTTAAATACTACGCTTCAATGCCCCGATTAGATCCACCTCGTCAGATTCGGATCTTCTATCGATCATCGAGAAATTGATGTCAGTCATTTATTAAAAATGATGATTAAGCCTCTCTCGGCCGCAACGATAAAATTGATAATGAAAGAGAAAAGATTTTCGATAAATACCGACGATAATCAAATCGCAAAACAGGAGAAATATATTGATTCTTTTTTATGTATGCCACTGTTCAATCTGAGCGATGAGACATTTCGATTGATTGTCGCTTTCGACCTTAAGATGAAATCGAATGTTGATTTCACATACGCTGCAATTACGTGGCTCACGGTTGCGCACTTCATGATTATACATGGGATTCATTGTTGTATGTGTATTGTTAATTACGTGACTTATTGTCTCAAATTTTTACAAAAGGTTCCGCGAGTCGGAAGTAAAATCCTTGAGGCTAATTATTCGAATATTTTAAATTAAATGTGAAAGTCAATTTTCATATCGCGTGACAAATTAATCACGAATATTGGAAGAGATACGTGTATGACTCTGTTTGATTATCTGAAAGCGATTAAAATAACAAAGAAGAATATTAAAAGAGAGAGGTACTCTAAGATAAATATGGCAATATCTACAATTCTTTGATAAGCCAATACTTATTAATTAAGAAAAATATTCCGTATCTTTTAGATTTTTAAATAAAAATTAATTTATAAATTTAGGAGTGAGAGGTAATATTTTATAAAACTTAGTATTCATGAAAATAAACGGAAATCTATATAAGTAATGATTAAAATTCTTTATATGTATACCGGGAAGATAATTCTTTTTATTGGCAGTTACTGATTTGAATCTTTCTGCGTGAAAGTATGTATTACGTTCACGTTTCTGGAAAAAATGAATATAATTCCATGCCTTAAAACGCAGGAATCAGAATAAATTTAGTAGTCAGTAACCAGTGAATGGACGTACGTTGGTTACAACCGTTCCACGGACAGCTTAATGAATAGGATGAAAATCTCTGTCTCGGAGTATAACGTAACTTTATGCGTCAAGTATTTTACTCCATTGGCAACATCGCCGTAAAAAGTGTTATGCTTTTCTAACGGCGCTGTAAGAAAAGGACGCCCGGGGCGTCTTGCATTGCTGACCGTTTTCTCCTGTAATTTGCGATCGAAGATCGCAGTTGTCTTTTCAATCGCGAAAAGACACCCAGGAAAAACGGAAACGAAGACGGCGACAGGAAGACTTTCTTCTCGACGAGGAAATATTATCGATAAACGTGGCGTGACGATTGGCGAGGAGCGAGTATCAAAATGGAAAGTCTCTGCACGACGCGTATTGATAGGAGTGCGTGCGCATAAAAAAATCCGTGCTAAATCGCTTTGAAAGACGCGTGCAAGTCGCGCAAAGTCGCGCGTCCATTGGCGCAATCGCTATTGATTTTTTTACGAAGGATGCAGCGGATTATCCCCAATCGATGCGAAGCGTGTTGCCATCGTTACGTGCTGAAACTGCCATCGTAGAATTTTATAAAGATTTCTAATATATTCTCGATAACTTCTAATAACTTCTTTAAGATCCTTTTTTTATTCCTTTCAAACGAGTCTCTAACAAATGCTAAGTGTAATATTAGATCCTTTCTCTCGCTGTACTGCGACCTTCTAAAGATGAAAAGAATGTTCTCTATTTAAATGTTTCTTTGTTTTAACTAACAATCTTTTTGTTTGGGAAAAGAAAAACCTCTCTCAAAACATTCGATACAACTGTGATATGATTTATTCTCAAGGAATTCCATTTTTCGCAGGTGATCTCATATTCAGTTTTTATCTTTTCTATAGCAATTCTAAAGTGCCCCTTCTCGAAAAATTGTACTATAATCATTATTTTTGGTATTAGGACGCGTCGCTATTTGTTGTGATTATTTTAACAAAAATCTGTGCTTTTATTAAGCGGAGATCCCGGAAGATCCATTTCGAGCTGAGTTTCTCATCAATAATTCGTAATGAATGCATCTACTCAGTACATTACAGTACCTACGATAATCCTGTTTATCTAAGTATCGTTTGATGTTTGGTCAAAAGGACAGTTTCTCCTCTGCACTTAAAATATTGCGTCTTGCACGTAACAGCATACTTTCGCTTCATTTCATTCGCATTCGCGAGATAAACTTATTTTACTTCATTTTACTTGCAAGCAAAATTTCATTGGCAATTCACATTCTTGTTGTTGGAATTTTTAACATGAAGTTTTATTTCTGAAATAACACTTGTTGTAGCATTAAGTTCTATTTTTTTGCCTCATTATTGACGCGGAAAATTAGATAGATTTTCCTGATTAAGAAGAGAATATTTCACTCCCTTTCAAAATTGCGTGACAAGTATTATAGAAGAATTAAAAAATTACAAAAGATTCATATGCACATTAAATCAAATTATCTAATATGCTACCGTCGATGATCTACCGGTGATATATATATTTAAAAATTATAAAAGATTCATCTGCACATAAAATTAAATTATCTAATATGCTGCCATCGACGATCTACCGATGATATATTTAAAAATTACAAAAGATTCATCTGCACATAAAATAAAATTATCTAATATGCTGCCGTCGATGATCTAACGATGATATATTTAAAAATTGCAAAAGATTCATCTGCACATAAAATAAAATTATCTAATAACATAATAATTGAGATATATAACCGTAAGATAAAATGTTACATGGATGTTGATTATGTTTCATAGTACGCAGTCTTCCATGTGGGTTTTGGAAAGTGAATGCTTGTACGAAGTAAGTGGATAACTGTACGGTAAATCTATGCGCAAGGAGAATATCAGCGTGACCTTTGAAATAGAAGGATACACGGATCTTGCAGCGGCTCGCGCCACGATATCGCTCTTCCTGAAATACGAAGGCCGTGGCGGCAGATAACGAAGAGCACCGGGGAAGAGAATTTATGGTCCTCTAAGCGGCGTATCCCGCCAGGGATCCGCGTGCTCACAAACCCACGTATCTTTCTCCCGGAGGTTTTCCACGACAGCAGCGTGTTAAATGGACGCGCACATAAAGGTCGTGCCGCGCGGCAAAAACTGGAGACGCAGACGCATCCGTTATGTCCTAATAAAACGCGGGTAAAACGCCGCGCGCGCGAGTTCCCTTAACGCACATCGTGTACGCGCTTCTGACGCAATTTAGACGCGTTACCGCGCGATTGCTCGATCGAGCGAACTGATCAGCCCTCGGGGGGAGACTCTGCTCTCAAAACGTGAAAATCCACCCGTTGGAACAAATGCGACCAGTGAACCGATTATCGAATTTGTATAGACGCATCTCTGTGTTCACAAGAAGGATAATTATAAAACTGAGGTACGATACCTTCACTTTTCGCGCGTTATATAATCCTAAATTATGGCACTGTTATAAACTATAGCGAC